TCCTACGTGTATACTTCAAAACGAATATTCCAATCCATTTTTTTTTTTATAATGATGAAATATATGATTATTATTAATTAAGGCCTCATTTGTTTTACAGTGAACTTTTGTTCACACTGAAGCAAAAATATAGAAATGCAAATGAGTTGAATCCAAGTTTTAGTATAATTTTGGTGTAGGTTTTGCTTTATTTTATTTTGTTTATTTGTAGTGGAGGCAAAATAAAACAAAGTAAAATTTAACACAAAAGTCCATCAAAATTTACAATTTTCTTTTCTTTGTACTACTACAAAGAAAATTACAATGTAAACCAACAAAGCCTAAAGTGACATCAATTAACCCCACTAATTAAATACCTTAGGTACGCACCATTCCTTTGGCATTTTCTTTAATTTAAGAATTTGAGTGATGCCTGTATTTACACGTCTAAGAAAAGTAAGGATATAGTGGAGTCTGTGGAGAGCATGTGCAAAAGAAGTGAAAGATATAGTGGAATGAAAAATAAATAGAAAAATGATGGTGGTTTGGACGTGAGGCCAAGGCAAGTATGAGTTTTATATAATTAGAAAGATGAAGTGGTATCTATATTGGATCCGGACGACCTACTTCTCACGCTTGACAGCTTCAAGATTTCACTATAGCACCGCCCAAGTACTGAATAAAGAGTTATCAATAATGCATGTGTGGCTATTATATGTACTACTATTTAATGGCTGTTTCTTAGACAAGGAATTCAGGTGATATCAACCATCACTGTTTTTTTTTCTTTCTTTCTTTATTTTTTTTTTTCTTTCAGACAATAAACATCCGTGGTGAAGGCGTGTCCCCTTCAAAAAGTTCATTAATTGTGTGAGGAAGGGGCGGTGTGCTTGTGAAAATCTTATGATTGCAAAACATACTAAGATAAAATCTCTTTTGTTTCGTTATGTAATAAGAAGTAGAAAAAAAAAAAAAGACAGAAGGAAAATTTTTAGGCTGAGATATTGAGTATATTTTTTGACCCTTTATAATGGAAATTTTACTTTCCACGACATTTACATCAAAATACATCCTATGGGAGAATGATGGTTTAATCAAGGGTCAGAACTTTTTAGGCATAAAATACAATGAGATGGATGCCAACTCAGAATTGATACCAATTTATGGATGGGCATTAGCATATAAAGTAGGGGGTTTTACATTTTGAATATTTATAAATTACAGTGAAATTCAAAAATCTACATTAGACCTGTCCATCATTAATTATGCTTTGTCAAGGGCCAAATCCATTGTTGGGTTTTGGGCCCTTAAGTCATTTCTCATTATCTTTTGGTAAAAGCATGTTAACGATCTTTTGGGTTTGCATTTAGCTCTTTAGACCTTTTGACCGTAACAGATGATTTCTCTTCTTACGTTGTGATAAAACCATTTACTCTGCTTTCCCCAATGAGATAAAAGTCATTCTTAAGTTATTTTGGGTAAGTTCATTAATGTTCCTATCCATTTTAGTTTTTAAAATACACACACGACTTATCAATGGGCCGGGTAGCTTGAGGGCTTGGACATGTAATTAGGCCCGCAGGCCTGACTTTGGGCCCAAAACACCACGCCCGATTATGTCTCGGGTTGGCTTGGGATTTTTTAAAAAAGCCTGGCCTGCCCCAATTCATTTATATAATATAAAATATATAATATTTATTATAATATATATATATATATTAATAATTTAATATATACATATTTTTTAATTTTTTTCTTTATAATCTCTCTCTCTCTCTCTCTCTCTCTCTCTCTATTCAGCCGCTTTAGCAGTGGCATGAGTTATATACTTTGAGCTCGGGCTCGGGCTCAGGCCTTAAAAAAATTTGTTAATGCAGAGTGAAAGCCCGACTTGAGCCAAAATTCATGTATTTTTTTTATTTTTTATATATTTGTTTTTCACTATTAATTGGATGTAGATTGCAGAATTTGAATCTGATTACGTAAGCACCTCATATTAGGCTTCAAAGTTTTGGGTATCATTGATAGGTCTACCTACTTGGCTAAACTCTTTTTTTTTGTAATGTTTGATCTTCTTAATATATATATATATATATATATATATATATATATATATATATATATATTTGTTCACTTATCAAAATAATGTATATTTAAAGAGAAGGAATTGAATGATGTGAAAGTTATAGTTTAAGCTACATTTTAAATCTCATAATTAGATAGGATTAAATTCAAAAAATGGGTATTTTGGTCAAAAGAAAGTTCCACAATCTTATTCATATTTTTAATAATAGTGTAAATATGGAGTTATAGATGTATTCATTTTTTCTATATATATATTTTTTATTTCTATGTATGTAAAAGTAATATTGTTATGTACACTTATTTTTTCATTTAATAAGATAAATATATGATATTATACATGTGCCCAAATTTTTTTATTTTAAAATTTATGTATTTTTTATTTTTTATTTTTGTGTTTTTTATATTTTATTAATTTTTATTATTTAATTATGACATTAAAGGTTGACATATTTGACCCAAAAGTTTAAATATTGATCTCCACTAAATAGGAAAATAATTTAATTCTTGATTAATTTTAGATTGTATTTCATTTTCATCATCACTAAAAATAATTATTGTTTATTACACTTCTTTTTTTAATTTGATTAATAAAAAATATCATAAATGTGTCTATTTTTTTATATTTTTGTAATTTTCTATATTTATTTTATATTTAAACATTTTATTATTTAACTATGACTTCATGGATTGGCTAATTTGATTCAAATAGTTGAATTTCTTAGTCATCACTTGGATAAAAAATGATTTTATTTTTTTATTAAGTTTTAAAATATATAGGTTTATATTGTTAAAAGTATTGGACATAAATCTAATTAGTAGCATTTATTAGTGAAAACTAACTTAAATATGGGATTTAATAAGAGAGCATGGGAGTTAATACCTTAAATGCAATAGTAAACGAGAGATGATTAAATGAGTTGAAAAGCATTAATTGAAATTATGTTTTCAACCTTCATAATTAGAGATGGACTAAATGACAAATGTGGAAGTTCCACACCCTCATTCGTACTTTTTATAATAGTATACCTTATTCCTTACAACATTGTTGGCTTTACAACCATTTTATGAAACAATCCTTCCAGCCTAAGTGGCATGCTCATATAAGAGTGTTTTATAAGGAAGGTAATGTCAATTCTGTCTTATGAATATAATGTAGATTGTTATTTAATATAAAATTTGATTTATATGAGGCTCAATATGAGAAGAGTACAAATACAAATATATATAGCATAAATGCATAAAAAATAGGGTCATTTACTAAAACACCCCCTAAAGTTTCATGAATTTACTAAACCCTACCTTATAATTTGTGTTTTTCTAAAACATCCCTATAATTTGTAATCAATTTACTTAATCGACTTTCCATTAGATGAAAGTTGAAAATGACAGTGTTAACACTAACATCCACTCAAATAAATTTAATCAAAACAAGCTAAAAAAAAATGCCATTTTTGCCCCTAATAAAACATAGACGACCACTATATTTTTCTCTATTTGGTCAATTTTGTTTTATATACAAAAGAAGTGTTAGGGATACTTTTGGAATAAACAACCATGGGTCCATGCCATTCAAACATTTTCCACTTAGTTTAGGTGACCGTGTTACTATTTTCACATGGCAAAATAAATAGCTCTTAATGAAAGATTGATTAAGCAAATAAGTTGCAAATTATAAGAGGTGTTTTAGTAAAATACAAATTATAAGATAAATTTAAATAAATTGTAAAATTATAGGGAGTGTTCTAATAAATGACCCTAAAAATAATATAAAGTTCAAGTTTTTTTACTCTAGATACTCATTTCAGACTAGGCCTAAAGTTCTATATCGAAAGATTACAAATACAAATAATATATATTCAAAATCTTCTCTAATGTAGCATAATGTACACAAATACTTCTCACCGTGAATTGGGAATATCTCCCCCTGCATAATACTATGTAGAGAATGAGATGTTCTTCATGTATGACTGCAATAAATGTGGGCAGGAGATCCGGACTCCTGCAAATGATAAGCCTGGTAATTCGATTAATATTGGGTGGTTTTTTTACATAAATTTCTTGGTCTCACCAAGTAGGGTTATTTTTTATTACCTATCCCTTTGCTGACGCGTGGAGAATGTGGCTAAAATCTTCTTAAATAGAACACGTGGATTTGAATTTTTGTATCTGAGGTTTCCCTAGAGTTTTAACTTTTGAGTAGGGAGTAGGGAGTCCTGAGTCCAAATCTCTTCCGGTATCATACCTTATCCATTCAAATAAATACAGCAAAATCACAATTTTGTAAGCTAATGACCTCATGGTGGGCTTCATTCTAAAACACGGGCACGGGCTTTATAAATATGGGCTTCGTGGCAATTTGCATTTTTCTTTTCTGTAACGTGTTAGGAATACAGATGCATCTTAGACCTTCAATTTGGAATGTTTTCCTAGGGAGCGATCTTTGACTGCCTTACCCAAAAAAAAATATCTTAACTGTTCCAGATGCATGCATGGTGAAACATGCATTTGTAATTGTTTCAAAAGTAATAAACATTCGTATCCTTGAAGCTTTTAAATGTTGGCCGGCACTTTATTAGTGAAAGACAAAATTACCCCTTTCCTGTCCGGCCTATTCATAGAAGCAATAAGAGTGAGAAGAGTATTCTGGGGTTAAAAAAAAAAAAAAAAAAAGAAGGTTGTCAGATCCCAAATCTAGCGAGCATTTAACCCGGGAGGGTATATTTGCCGCTTCACTTACCCACTTTTAAATGTCGCGATCAAAACATTTAATTTCAGAAAAATAAGAAACTTTTATATATAGATTTTTAGTTTTAACTTTTAAAAAACCAAAACGAAGAGAGAGAGGCGACGACGCTGACGCTCTGGACGTCATAATAACGAAATAAAAAAGGCGGCTTCTTTCGTTTGTTGGTCAATCATCTCTCCTTCTCCCCTCTTTCCTCTCCCTTTCCCTCTCTCTTATAAAAACTCCGAAGTTCAGCTTCTCAATTGAGCGAGCCATAAGGACAGAATCCCAAACTCCCATACTCGATAATGGAGGTGGTGATACCGGCACCACCCAGCGGCATGGATTTCAACTTCGACAGCGCCTGCTCTTCCCCCTACGTCAGTGCTCCTTCCAGCCCCAAACGTTTTGGTGAGTTTTTCAGCGCTCCCACTAGTCCTACTAGGGCCGCTGCAATCTATCGTGGCTTCAACGATTTTTCCATCACCAGCGGCACCAGCGGCACCGGCGGCAGGGGTGGCTCTTCTTCGATCATCCCATTTGACTGGGAACAGAAACCTGAAAAATCGAAATCTAGCGACACCCAGAACGACGATGACGACTTCGCCTTTGATTTCAGTGGTCAGTTAGAGACAGCTTCGCTCACCGCCGATGAACTCTTCGACGGAGGCGTCATTAAACCTTTAAAACTTCCTCCTCGGCTACAGCAGGTTCCTAGCGGAGTTGACGAATTTTCTACTCGGAAGAGCGCTGTTTCGTCGCCGAGGTCCCCAAGATCACCTGTCTCGAAGGGGAAAAGGATAATCCGTGAAGCGTTGTCCCCGCGCCACAAGAAAGACTTCGACCCGTTCGCAGCTGCAATTGAGCAAGCGCGTAAAGGATCGGAACGCGATCGAGGGAGAGAAAGATTCTCTGGTTCGAATTCCGGCCGCAGAGGTACCCGATCGCTGTCGCCTTTCAGAGTTTCTGCGTTCCCATGGGAAGAAAAAGAACAACAGCAAAGTACCAAACCCGCTTCATCAAATTCAAAATCCTCTTCTACATCGTCGTCGTCTTTGAAGGGGAGCAAGAAATGGAGGCTGAAAGATTTTCTGTTGTTTCGAAGCGCTTCAGAAGGTCGAGCGACGGACAAGGATCCTTTCAGAAAATTCGCGGTTTTATCCAAGAAGCAGGACGACGTAAAGAACTCGAGCTTCCGGTCAACCGACAGCTCCGGTTCGAGGAGAAGAGGACGAGTTTCAGCTCACGAGTTTCATTACACGGTGAACAGGGCGGTATCTGAGGAGTTGAAGAAGAAGACCTTCTTGCCGTATAAACAGGGTCTTTTGGGTTGCTTGGGCTTCAATCCGACCGTCCATGGGCTTGCCAGGGGCTTTGGTTCCCTTACACGTTGATGGGTTGATCATGAATCGACCAAAAACCCTTTGGTTCTTTCATTTCTATGCATGCATGATTAAGTAAAATCTGCAGGGGATTAACTCTTCTAGTAAAAAATTTCCCTTTATTACATCTGTTTGTTTTGGTGTAAAGGTTCTATTGCTTTGAATTGAATTGTAAAAGGCAGACACAGAAGACTCAAGTGATACACTATTAATTTCTTTAATCTTTATTAACTTTGAAACGTTGAATCAAACGTTCCAAAGTGGTCAATAAGGCTGGCTGGTTTTAATTTGAAAGCGTGAGATTAGAATCCATGGGTTACGTTGGTGGGTCTCAATAACTCTCAACGCTCTAACATTTATTATTGTATTCGAGTTGCATGGATTCAAACTCAAAGCAGGCAAACTGATCAATGAAGATGGATGTCGACCTTCATGATAAATCATAATATAATTAAAGGTGTTGCCTTTATTGTTGTGGACTGTAAAAGAGCCAAAAAGGAGAAGAGGGGATAATAGTAATAGAGAGTGGTTGTAGGAATAACTTTTTGGAAAGACAAGTAATGTCGAACTCAGAGGAGACCCACATGAGATCCTGTAATCATCCATTATTTTCTTCTTTTTGAGGGAGGGGTGTGGTGCAACATCATCATCATTGAACTGAATTGAACAATCTTTTCCTTTTTCTTTTTGTTTCCCCCTTCACTCTAAAAAGGGAGTTTGTTGCATTTGCATAGTGCATACATACATGGGTGATGGGCTGATGGTGATGGTAGTGATCATATATATACATCTCTCGGTCATACTTTTCATACCTACGTATTACATTGCATGGTTGATGTCTAGAGAGAGTTTCCTTTTTCTTTTCACTGTTCTTCATTTAATTTCTCCATGTTTGATTAATACAAAATATATAGCGTTACAGGGAATGTAAGGAAAAAAAAAAAATTCAGGCTTTTGGTGTTACGCGCATAGTCTATGAACTGGTTTAAATTGGCTCAAAAGAAAAGAACTGGTTCTGGCAAGAGTACAATAATCTTTCATGCATCCATGTTTTAATTTGCAGTCGGAGATTATTCATTTCTCGTTAATATAGGAGTGTCAATCCAGCACCACACCAGTTCTTCTGTCTAAATCTGTTTGACGTTAAAAAAGGGTACACCTCCATGCTTGACTTGGCCGATGACGGACCTGATCACGTCTCTTTAATCTTCCTGAGTTGATTCAAGAATATCAACGAGTTGTAGGCTTGTAATCAATCAAATAATTGTCAAATTGACGAGTAGACTTGCAAGTTGATTAGTTACCCAACAATAAATCTCTACTAAATAAAGTGGTTGCATGTCAATATATAGACTTAGAATCGATTTTCTAACATCTGTATAAATAAACAAATAAACTGCAGGAAGCAAGCAAATGAATAGATAAGGATGATGGGTGTCATCGACCAATGGTAGTCGGTAGTAGAAATGAGGGGTTTGGGCCAATACAAGGTGGGTTTGATCTTAAGTCCATGTTTGTTGTGAGAATTAACTATGATGAATTTTATAATTCTAAAAGTCAATTTTTAATTGTGATGTATGAAAATCATCTGAGCTAATGATAATTCTTTTGGTGGGACTAGCTCAAAAATTATTTGGGGATTAATTGATTGTATAATATTTAGCTCAAGATTTATTTTTCAAAAGTGATTCTTTGGAAATTGGAACAAACACATGCAGCTAGCTAGAAAGGGTTTAAGAAATAAGAAACATAAATGGAGAAAGGGTTATTTCAGTTATACATTTGTTTTGGAGACTTGCTAATTCTGAGCAAATATGATGTGTATCAGTGTATGTATGTAGCCTTTTGAATATTTTGTTGGAGAGTTCCACATAGGAAAACTCTCTCTCTCTCTCTAACACAAAAGAGCCAATGAATAAGTTGCTGGATTGATGTGAATGTGGATAAAAGAAAAGTAATAAAACAAGGAAAAATGGAAAACAGTAAAAAGAAAAAGAAGAACGGTAATAGGGTCAATTAACATTAAAAAGAAGCGTATTGTCGATGTCATCAGATGTAACTCATGACAATACAAGGCTGCACAATGTTGGCGGGGCATACATGGGTTGTTGAATAGATACAAAACAGCTCATTGTAAATATATAATGATGTCGATACTTGCTTTAGCTTCATCTTCCAAACCCTACCATGTAAAAATATTTGTACAAATGTTTTTCTCAACTAGCGGAATGCATAAACAATTGTTCAAGGTATTGTTTTTAATTTATCTGGTTAGACGTGTACACAATTAGTCCAGGCGGCCATACAGACAAATGCATTAGTTGCTTGAATTGCAAACCAACATTGAACGAGTCTCACCCTCTCAATCAAAGATTGCCTTTTTTAACCCAACCTCTTCAGGAAAAAGAAAAAAAGGCAGCACCACTAGATTATTTTCATGCTCACTTTTGCTAGCTCCATTTAAAAAAGGAGAGAATGCTCCTTTCAATGGTGGATAACTCCATGCCACCCGTTCCACGGTTGAATGCATGGGCATTTTCTCATCTTACGACTTGATGATTTGTGATTATTTTAAGACTCTACGTTATTGTTGTTGCATGCTTTGCATATTATATTACATTTATATGTATGTGGTCGTGAATTGTGAAAATCCAGATGACCAGATCATGCTGATTGTTTGTCTAACAACCCTGTAACAGATCCAGATCGTCTTTATTCACGAGGGAAGAGGGATTTCAACTCCACATATCATGAAAAGTTTTTTTGCTCCCCTATTTGAGGAATTAAACAAAATCAAGGCTATTTGTTTGCAGTTCAAATCTGAATCAGATAAATTTTTTTTTGCCTGATCCAGTTTTGCATCCATTTGTTTATAACTATGATCTGTTAATACAAAACTTGTTTTTTTTTTGGGTCATTTGCACTACCATGCATCCCAAAAATTGATAGAAAATTTAAAACGGGGAAATCATCTTATTTCCTACTTCACTCTACCTTCATTCTCATTCATATAAGGTGGGTGGATATCACATCATTTAAATTCCAACCTCAATTCTTTCAAGTTTCAATTAAACAAGAGAAAATCAAATCTGAAGCAAAAAAGTAAACCATAATATACACTCACCTTATTTGCATTTCTATACACTTGAACGAATGCAAACGAAATTTACACTACAAACAAACAGAGCCAGGAGAGGCAATGGTGTAGTCTGCTCTGCACGTCTAATTTATTTCTTGATTACTTCAAAGTTAAGGCTTGAAACTAGATGTGATTCAGATCGGAATAGTTTTTACTTTTTTACTTTTATTTATGAATATATCCCATCGGTACCGGCAGTTGCGATGGTTCTCATCTATTCCAGCTGTTCAGTGTTTAGCAAAGCATGTACTGATTGGTGTTGGTGTGGTCACCGGTCAGTAGTGTCTATGTGTGTGTGTGAATGCACGCACATAGGGTTGACGGCATGCAAGAAAGCAAATGATGAAAAAGGTGGGATGCCCCACCAGTGTCTCCTCCACCTGTGTCTTCTATCCAAAATTCTAATTCTAATAAATAAAATAAAAAGTCTGAAGAAGAAGGAGAAGACAAGCTAACAGCCACATGCTATTCTTTTGACTTCTTCATGGTCTTGCCGGTTTCTCTGACTAGTCAAACAACTTAATGGATGGCTGATATTTTATATTGTATATAAAACAGCACGTGCTAAGTTCATTTTGTTCATCGAGTCGAGTCAAAACGACTCAGCCGAGTCTTGGGACGTGGAAACAACGTGTTTGCGGTTAGGTTATTAACAAGAAAAATAATGCCATCTAATTAATCATGCGTGGTCTATCGTGGCTAAAATAGTAGCCACGTGGCAAATCACAACTTTTATTCCTCAATGACGATCCCCAGATATCGGTGCCCTCTATTTTTACCAGAATGTATCCTTCCTGTTACATGTCATTCAAATTTCTATCCATTGGAGTTTCTAATTGCACCCAAATTTTACAGGTAAACGTATTTAAAAAATGATGCTTGAACGACAATAGCTGTGTTTTGCCATGTGGTCATACAAKTTAATAAGTCAAAAGGTGACATCATCTCGCTTACAACTTCTGACTGAAAATCAGATTTGCTCCTCACAGCGCACTTCACACCAACCTCACATCACATCTAAAAGGTTTGTGTGGGGCACGCTCTGTTCCAATGCAGGACTGTGATGTGCTATGAAGTTGGTGCGAGACATGCTCTATGAGGAACAAATCAAGATTCTTCTGACTCCTATTTCCAGTGTGAATAGGCAAATGCAAGAGTTCAAAATGGGCTGAAATGCAAATTCTAGTTCACTTTTGTTTCAGGTTTTATCTTTTACTATTGTCTGTTCTAGAGGAAAATGATGTGATTCTCAGCTTACATGGAAAGAGAATGAAGGCAAGAGAAAGGTAGAATACACTTTCTATTCGTTTTTTCCAGATGAAAAATTTATACTGTTGGAGCCCATAAATGTTATTAACTTGCAACGAGTGTTTCTGTTGACCTAGGCGGTTGGACCATTTGGCTCAAGAACCATCCAGGCAACTGGTTCCATTTCACCCTTAACCTGTTTCTTAGCTTAAAAACCATTGACTTGGTCAGCAACTCAATGACCCGGGCAGTTAAACCATCAACTCAGACAGCAGTTTTTAAGCATTTTTATTTTAATTATTTTTTAATTATTTTTTTTTTTAATTTTGGAACGGGCTGTTTGTTTCAATCAGACGTCAAACTGTTGACCCAAACATCGGTGGCCAAAGCGGTTCTAGTTCTGGGTTGGTTTTTAAAACATTGCTAGTATTGCAATGCAGCCCTAATGAGTAGGGATGATCATGGTCTGGGCCTGGGCCTAGGCCAGGCTCAGCAGATAATAATAAGGCTTACAAATCAAGCCCAGACCCAGGCCTGAGACAGGCCAAGCCAAACTTAGGGATATGACAACTAATAGTAAAAATTTAATTATTTAAAAACTTTAAATTAAATGATGCACAAAACCTAAGCCAGGGCAAACTTAGCTAGACTTGGACCTAGCAGGAAAAATCAGATTAGCTGAATACATTAGTTATGTAGGATGTAGCGCATAGAGAGGTTGAATCAAGTCCCATGCTTTTTATAACTAGTGTGGAGCAAGGTTTAAAATTTCAATATGATATGCACCATTTTGAGCTTATCATATCATATGTTCTTGTAAATGGTATGCCTTTTTCAAGGCACTTTAAGAAAGTTTTTTTTTTTATATATAATTAAATAACATAAAAGGCCACTCTGAAATTTTGAAGAAAAAAACTAAAAAATATAAAAGAGTGAGGTTTAAATAGGGACGGCGATTTCCCCTATCCCCATTTGGTACTTTGCTTCCCTGACTTGATGGAGTTGGGGATGGAGACTGCAGGAGTTGATTGTGATATCCAACGGGAAAGCCACCCCGTTGGGGATCAGGGATGGAAGTTCATTTTTATCCCCACCAGGGATCGGGGTCGGGGTCAGGGAGTCTGGTCCCTACCCCATTGCCATTCCTAAGTTTAAAGTAACGATACAACCCTTCCATCGTATCAGGGTTTGTTGATAACTTGATATCTTAAATTTTGGTGCAGAGCATTATTATTGATTCCACAGTCTGCTAAACAGCTATTTTGTTGATTTATGAAAGCAATTGAAAAACCAAAATCCAATATAAGGAACATCAGCGCTATGATATGCACAAACTAATAACCTTGTAAGCATGGCAAAAAATTACACGGTGTTTTGGTTAATAAAGATCCCTTAGGCTAGCATATCACCAAAACACCACTGATACGTAGAGACAAGTTTTTTATTAGTAAATGGAGATAATTCTTCAGAATATGGAAATGTGGAAATAATACTCGGAAATGTATCTTTATGATGTGAGAGAAAAACAGTAATATTTTTACTTTAACGTTGTGTTTGGTTTGAAAGAAAAAGTAGGGAAAGGCAGGGGAATCCTATACAAAGTTTGTAAAAGTTTCCTACCTATCAAACCAAACACAGCCTAAAGGGAGTATGTTCAAGCAATAAGTACAGGGAAAAAAATAGAAATAATACTAGGAACTGTTTTCTTCATGATGCCAGAGAAAAATAGTAATACTGTTTTTTTTTTCTTTAAGGGGAGTGTGTTCATGGATGGATAAAGAAATCCTACCCTATCAATTTTCTTTATTCATATCGCAACTTTCACATCGAGAAAGACATACCAATTTAACTTGCAAGAGAATTGGAAGGAAAATATTTTAAAAGCATACCTCCTCAACAAGCATTTGACTGAAACGGTTGCATTTCTAATTGTCAGTATGACTTGTAAAGGCCAAGCAGAGGCTTCTCTCTCTCTTCCATTCGTTTTCTTGCAGCTTCCCTTGCTTTAAGTGCAGCTTCTTCCTCCTTAGACACAACCTTTGGCTTCTCATCTTCTCTTTTTCTCTTGTTGACAGCTATTGATGAGGTGGCACCTTTAACGGATCTCATGGGGTTTATAGATGCTGAAACAACCAACCCTGGTGGAGGCCCACTGTGAAGTTTCACACCTTTATCTTGTGCAACAGGCCCATCCACTGACGGTGGCTTTGTTGAAACAGGCTCTTTTTGTTTGGTTATCGATGAAACATGTTTGTTGAATGCCTCTTCCTGTGTCACCCATTTGCCTGGTTCACAGGTAAGCAAAATACCACAAACTAATCAAGAAAATGCATTCAAGATAACACAAAAAAGAGTAAAGCAATTAGTACCTATAGCATCCGAATAGTAAAAGCCGGAGTTTGAGTCATAGTAATAGCCAGTCGCTTGGTTGTAATAATAACCCAAAGAACTATCATACTCCCACCCTGTCATCATTCAAAGCTGTTTCAGTCTGAATAGTACCCCATATAAGAGATCAAGAAATCAAATAGATCATACAACCAAGACAATAAAAAAAAAGGCAAAGCAGAAAACATAGAAGCACCATTTAAATCTCCCTAGCTCTACTCCAAGGTCAACTAGGGTGGTTGAACCATTTGATCCAGAAACTGGTCACTATTTCGATTCAATTTACAACCTGGGCTGTTATTTTGCCAAAAAATATGTTGAATTGGTCACCAAATCACTGATCCAAATGGTCTAGCCACCAAACTGTTTGACCCAGAAAATGGTTCATGGTCTAATGCCAAAATACTGAAATTATTTTTAAATAACTAAAATAACAAAAAAAGAGAGAAGGATTGACCTATTGGAGAAAAAGAGAGCTGAGAAATTTGAGAGAGGAGGCAACCACCCCTACCCCTTTTTCTGCTGCTGCTTTTTTCTTTTTCTTTTTTCTTAGCTGCCTTTTTCACTCTCTTCTCTAATAATACATATCACCTATGTATTTTCGTAATGTAACCTAATATTCTTACCTAATGGTTAGGATACAATACACAAAGGACACCAAAGCACAATTTGGAGATTGGATCATTCTTCAATCCATAGAAGGACCATTCCATGCAAATGGTTCAGCTCAAGTTAAACTGCTGACATATGGATGATAGGTGATAACTACAACTAGAGGGAAGGAGGGCAGAAGAATATTAGACTACCACTAAGAAAATAAACCGTCTGAGCTCAACATCTTTCTGCAAAAGGCATGGTTTTTGGCAGTTTCTGGGCCAAACCAATACAAAGCCTGGTGATTTGTTGAATAACTTAATCACCTCTCCCCCCCCCCCCCAAAAAAAAAAAAAAAATCTTATGTGCTACATTTATTCAAAGGTCTATAAAAAATACTGATCATCAAGGAAAAAAGAAGAAAGGAGCTTGCATTTCAACTTAGAATGAAACAACAGATACTAGAACTATTAATATTACCATCACTAGAACTGATAAAAGAAATATATATTACCATCACTAGAAGCCACAGAACATTTAGTTGTCTCTGGACTCTCATGAGATTCTATAGCATGGGCACTAGACTCCCTGGACTCTCGAAAAACAGCTAAATCTTTCTGATAGCTGCGCCTAGCTTTCTGGCAAACAAATTCATGAAGAACACCATTAACCACATGTAYATAAAAACTGTTCTCAGAAAAATATTCAATACTTCAGTTGCTTATTTGCACAAATATTCTCAAAATGAGAAATTATATATTAAGTCAAACATCACGCGTATGAATAAAAGAAATAGCAAATGATTACCCAGACACAAGGATGTTCAACCGTCTGTTGGTTCCTATGTTTTATTTTAATAAGTGAAATTAAATAAATACAATGCTACTTATGCATAAAAGGTTAAAATATGGTTTTTCTTGTCATAGATAAATTCCATCCTGTAGACATATATGAATGCAACATGTCCATAAGTGAGTGTAGCAGAGATGGGGATGCCATGATGGATGGCAAGAGTAGAACGGATAGAAGTGAAAATAAGTGCATCCATTAAATAGATAACAAAGTGAGGAAAAATCTACTTGGATGGTTCAGTCACATGCATGGAAGCATCTTCTTGCCCCAGTGATAAGGTTTACTCTGATGCAAGTTGAATTTTAGAAAATAGCTAGTGGGAGGCTGAAAAGGATGTGGACTGTGGTGAGAGAACACCTCAGAACTTGCAATTTAACAAAACCATGGCCTGTAATAAAGTGGAATGATATGCACCCGACTCCAAAGAGTTGGGGTAGAGGCTCTGTCAAGTTGAGATAATCATGCATGTTGTGAATTTCCACCAATGCTCGAGGAGTCTTATGTAGCAAGTAGTGCATTAAAATTCCCATAACCCATAAGTAATTGCACATTTCATTATTAATGTGGTGAATGTGTAACCTATTCAAAAGCATGTTGGTTATCATAGGGGGCCATTATCCAATGTTGGTCCTAGCTATCTTGGGTCTAGGAAGGGATGGAGTGGATACAGACCTAACCTATGGCATCATTTGTATGAAGTTCACCCTCAGACTTGAACAACATTTTCACACTTGTCAACGAAAAGTTTTACCATGACACCAACAAATGGCCCCTATATTGATGATAATATGTTCCTTAAAAAATGATGCAGAGATAAAAGAATAAATAAGGAACAGTTTCAAATAGATATTACCATTACTAATACCCATAGTTTTCAAGGTGCCAAGGAGAGGCTAAGCGACAGGGGGGCGCCTTGTCGCCTAGTCACCTAGTCGCCTAAGTGAAAAATACATAAGAATAAGAAGAATATGATGTGGAGGAAGAAATGTGTTGATTAGACAAAACTTTAAGTTTTTCCCTTACTTATTGGTTAAAGTTCTGAAGTCTTTGAGGGTTCAATACTGCAGTTAACAATGTTTGTGTTCATTAAACCCTAACAAATAAGAAAATAATAAAAAGAAATTAGTTTATAAACACAAAAAATGAATATTTTTGTTTAACAATGTCTATTTTATAATTGTAATCTCAAAAAAGTAACAATATAAAAGTATTTTATAAGACAGTATACAAAACTGCTAGATGACTGGGCGAGGCGAGCCTCCAAGGGTGCCTCCTTGTTCTTTTGCGTCACCTTGACAACTATGCTAATATCTTTTGCGTTCTCTTGCTATTTTGCCACCCATCTTGATCCTTTTTTCCATGTTTCTCATGTAATTTCCACCCTTCAAGATTAATTACCACAATTTTGTACTTATTAAGTCAATAAAGTTACTAGTCAAGTTTTCATTCCAAAAGAAAACAGAAAAAAAGGGTTAGTTAGTAGCCAACTTGATTTTCATGTCAAATGAACAGCTTAATTTGGTAAAGAACTAACACATTGAAAACCTCAACAACTTGAATTTGCAGAATCCAATGTTAAAATGCAAATTTGCAAAATAAGACAGGCTGGGGCAGAACAAGGAATTAAGGTTAAGTAGCCTTGGATCTACCTGTCTCCTGTCTAGCCAAAGTATCGGCAAATGAATTTGCACATCTTTTCACCCATTGAATTTTCACTTCCATATTCTGAATTAACCATTTAATCCTTTTCTTTCATTATTGAATATCCAATGACTTGGTCCTTCTTTTAGGAGCCAATTAACCACCAGCTTTGAATCCCCCTCGATTATCAACTTCTTAATATTTAGAGAGGCTGCCTTTTGGATTCCTTCCACTGCTGCCAAAACCTCAGCTCGAAGAGAGTCACCAGTCCCAGCAGGTCCCAAATATAGAGCCACCACTACCCCTCCTCCCTCATCTCTTAAAACTCCACCACATCAGAGGGATCCAGTCGACTGAAGATGTTGTCAACATCGGTGCAGATTCAGCCACCACTTTCCAATTAAGCATTATGTCAACAACTGAGAATGAAGAAAAAAGATCCATCGTCCTCACTCAATGAGCAACCTTGATCATGATAATGTCTATGGTATCATCTTTGCTTCTTTCTTTCTCGGCAAATATTCTAGAATTCCTTTCCTCCCATAACACCCAACAAATGGCAGCCCTAGCACATCTCCACAATATCCTACCCCTCTTTTTTGGCAAGCTGAAAGGAGAAGAAGTAAATAATCCTTGCAAGTGATTTCGGGGAGTCCACTTGCACCCGAACAAGGAAGAAAACCAATCCCATATGCAAGAGGTAAAAGGACAGGAGATTAATAAGTGGTGGCAAGGCTTGTAAGGGACCTGTTTGTAGGGGGAGAGGTAAGAGGTTTTATCTCTCACAGTCCGACTGTATTTAATGTATTGTATCTTCCATTATATTAATTAATAAAAGGTTGAGTTATTGATCAAAAAAAAAAGTGGTGGCAAGGCTCACTGTTGGCTTTACATAACACACACCATTGTGGAGATAGGCACATGTTTGGTCTCCTTCATTGAAGCATGTTATAGGTATTAATTTTCCCTAGAAGAGGCTCCCAACAAAAGGCCCCAACTCTCGGAGGAATGGGATGGCACTAGATCTCTTTAATCACAAAGGATAAACTAACAATGGCCAATGAAGGAGACAATGCTTTGAAAAATGAAGTGCAAGAAAAGGAGCCAGCCAAGGAAAGAGTCCAAATTTTACGATCTTGATTCAATGGGTCCACCAAAACCCCAGAAAGAATATTAGTGAGTTTGCCACCCCATTTAAATCACCATCCCTAACCCACCTTCTAAATCACAAATCCCAATCCAACCCAGAATTCAAATCAAAGTGAGAGAAAAAAGAGGAGACACGCTTATTCTTAAATTTTGAAAGAGCATATAGAGAAGGAAATTGATCTTTCAATGGAGAACCCCCTACTCAAAGATGTTCCCAGAATTTGACATGATTCCCATTACATACCTCATACCTGATAAAGGGGAGGAAAGCCGACAATAATTTGTTGATATCTTTCCAAGGAGAAGCCCGGGAAGCCCTAGCCAATGTACCAGAGTCCCACCCATTTGCCGAGAGCCCGTGTAACACTCTACACAGTTGTTACCCAAAGTTTTTCTTTTACCATAGGGAAGCCTCCATAGCCATTTCCCCAAAAATGCTAAATTTCTTTTTTCAAGATTCCCAATTCCCTAATGATTTACTCTGGTTAACCTGTTCCCAACAAACTCTGTGATCTTTTTTTCCCCTCACCTGGCTCCCACAGAAAATCTCTCATCATCTTCTCCAGTGTCCTAGTCATACTTTTAGGGGCCCTAAAGACTAACAGATAATAGACTGGAAGATTAGCAAGGGTAGTTCTAATGAAAGTGATCCTTTCACCTGAAGAAATGCAGCTCTTTTTTCCAGCTAGAAAGTCTCTTAGCAAAAAACTCTCCACCACCAAGTCCTAGAAGTTGACATACCTAGGGTTATGACCAAGAGGGAGACCAAGATATTTGATTGGCCATTGTGCTATTTCACACCCCTCTTAGTTAGATTAACTCCTGCTGTAATACAACTCTTGTCGAAATTGACCTTAAGATTTGACACATGTTCGAAGAGTTGAACTACAACTTTCAGGTTTCTAGCCCAGTTTATATCATCCCCTTGAGAAAAAGAATTGTGTCATCCGCGAATTGTAAATGAGTACCTAGCACTTTCTCCCTACCTATTCTCCATCCTCTCACCAGATTTCTTGAGTCAGCCCTAAGAACTATTTTTACTTAAAGCTTCAACAATTACTGTGAACAAAAATGGTGACGAAGGGTCCCCTTGCCTAATCCCTCTGAAGGCCTGAAAAAAAAAATCCACCACTTTTGCATTGACTATAGTTGAATTATGACAAGATGATAAGCATCCAATCACCCACTTGCACCATCTCCATTGAATAATGGAGATGTGTCATTTCTGGTGGATGGGTGTTTAATTGTTGACATGAAACCTACTAATATTGAGATTCTAGCAAGTTTAGGGTCATCATTATTGAGTACTATAGCCCATCAAGGTTTTAAATAGGTGAACTCCTTAAGAATATGGGAATCATGAAGAGTCTCACTGATGTACTGTTAGAATAATGTTAAAATAACTTAGTTGCAGATGTTAGGGTCTGTTTGGCTAATTAAAGTGTTTTTTATTTCTGTTATGTCTGTTATTGTACTCAGGGGCACAAGGGTCTTTTCCCYTGTTATTTYTRTCRCCCTATATATAGTAAAATAAAGACTGGCGCCGCCAGTACTGTTACATTGCAAAACCTTCTCTCTTCTCTTCTCTTCTCTTCTCTTCTCCTCTTCTCTTCCTCTTATCTTTGGCCGGCCACACTGTCAAGATGGTATCAGAGCGGGAATGCTGATTAAAGGAGAGCAGATCGATCAACCCTACTTTCAAGAGAAGATTGATCAACCCAAAGAACAGATCGAACAGACTAGCAGAACAGAAATCTGATT